TGTATAAGGCTTTGAAGGTCAAAACCAGCACCTTGAAGCGAATCTAGTACTCAACTGGCAATCAATGCAATTGGCGGAGCACATGCCTAATCTGAGCCCACACAGGCGTGCTGCTGTATTCTGCACCAGTTGTAATTTTCGGATCAGCTTCAAGGGTAAGCCTGCGTATAGCGAGTTGCAGTAATCAAGTCTGGAAGTGACCATTGCATGGGTCACCGACCCGTCGCTAGGTCTTGGGGGGAAAGATAGGGCTTCAGTAGCCTGATCTGCCTAAGATGGAAAAATGCAGATCTGGCAACTGCAGCAACCTGGGCCTCCATGGAGAGAGAGGCATCCAGTGTCACTCCCAGACTCCTCACCGTCTGGGCCGGCACCAAAGGTGCCCCTTCCAGTGTGGGAAGCCTGGTGCCCCCATCCAACCTCCCTCGACCCAGGTACAGGGCCAATGGTCATTACAAGCGGTAGAAAATAATATATAATAAAATACAGCACAGTAAAATTAGATTAAGAAACTAGATTAAGAAACCAGTGGCATCTATTTTAGTTCCCTGCTCTGATCTGCCATTGAACTGATAGTCACAATTCTTCAGCAAAAGAAATTGCTCAATTGTAATGTTTCAGGAAATGTTATACTGTTCAATTAGGTCTCAATTAAGTGTATGGATTTATCTCACAGTATGGGTGTTAAATTAGTTTAGAAAGTCTGGCCAGATTATATTCTCACATTTTTTGTTGTTGTTCAGTCGCAGTCGAGTCCGACTCTTTGCGACCCCATGGACCAGATCCCGCCAGGCCCTCCTGTCTTCCGCTGTCCTCTGATTCTCACATTACTGCTGATAATAATAGTATATATTTGAATTTTACATGAAAATGTCACTCTTGGACCTCCGGCGGCGCGGCAACGAGTGGGGCGCGCGAGTGCTCCAACGCCCGAACCCCTCCCGTGTCTTTTGGGGCTTTCTCGGTGTCCGGGAAGGTCCCGCCAGATCTCCCGGAGAGAGATCTGGAGCAGAGGGCTTTGGGGTGGCCCCTCCCGTTACTGGCAAAGCGGGGGGGTGTCTACCTTCTGCCCTGAAGCAAACGCGGGTGAGAGGAGAAGAACATGGCCGCCATGTTCCCCACAGCTGCTGCCTTCCGTCCTGTTTTTATCTATAGCTAATTTTTTTCTTTGGATTACAAGCAACGAGGTAAAAATAAAACAAAACGCGGAACTCTTAGTGCACACTTCTTCAAGGAAATATCGCCCCGAAAACGAGTAGCGCAAAACGAAGGAAAAAAGCAGCCAGAAAAGGAGAAAAGAAGCTAAGTACTATTTATTTACCTTTTTTGATTCTGGGCAATTCATGCTGTTCGCTTGGGAAAGGATATAAAATTGTAAGCTGACTGTGACTAAATTTGTAAGCTGAAGGATTGGGAAATGGTGTTTATAAGGGAAAACGAGATGGCGGAGACACTGGATGAAAATATGCTTGTGGCAGAAATGTCGGTGGAGCAGTTTATGGGAGTACTAAAAGGAGGAATACAAAAGGCCTTAACAGAAGAACTACAGAAGGGGATACAGCAGGCATTTGCAAATCTATATGCAACCCCCACTGTAAAAGAAAAGACTGAAACTTTGGACTCGTTGATTCAAACTCAGGAAGAAATAATTGAACCACAGCAAGGAAAGGAGGGCACAGATTTATTATGCTTGCAAGCTCCAAGACAAAGGGAAGTAATAATACCAGTTAAAAGGAGACAACGGAAGAGAAAGAAGGCAAGAGGAAAGGGAAAGTTGTATAGAGCCCTGCCTGATAAGAAGAAAATGAGAAGAGAAAGACAAGGACAATTTGAGTGGAGGATTAAAAGGGACAAAAAGGATTGGAGTTATGACATTTTAAAAGAATTTGAGGAAAGACTGGAAAGGATCTACCACTTGTGCAAAGAGAAACAGCACATAGATATGTTACTATGGGGTAAAAAGTTAGAGAGTTACAGAAGACAAATTAAAATATATGGATTTTTTTTCCTTATATATTTTGATTCCATTTGTTTATGGTGATAGGTGTAATAAAGGATTTATAATGGAAGGAATAGATTGGAATAATGGGAAGTATATGTATTAAAACAAACTGCTAAGTGTCAGAAAAGAGGAATTTAGGGGTGGTGGAATGAAATGAATTAAAATGAATTGAGTATGGTTAAAGTGTTTATTAAAATTATTTTGGGTTATCTGGTATTGTCTTTAATGTGTTTGCGTGCTCTTATAGCAAGTTATGAAGGGGTAAAATTAAGGATGTGAGAATGATATGTTATTATTTGTAGATGTAATCATGATTTAGAATGGATGGAATAGATTATAACATTTGAAGGTATATGTATTAGAATAAATGTTAAGGGTGACGGGATATAAATTTAAGGGGGTGGAATGAAATGAAATGAGCATGGTAAAAATGCTTTCAAAAATTAATTTGGTTTGCCATTATCTTTAAGGACTTTTGGTTTTGGAGTTTTAGTTGTGTGTTCACAAGATGAAAAGCATTGTATGTTTAGAATATATGTAATCTTAGTTTCAGTTGAGTGTTTATAAGATGTTAATGAGAGAAAGTATTGTGTGTTTAAAGCATAGCAAATAATGAGATTAAGGGGTATGAATTTCAAGGGTAATGAAATGAATTGAAATGATTTGAGGTAGTAAAGGAAAGAGACTATTAAGTGGTAAATTATCAATGGAATTGTAAGAAGGAGAAATAGCAAAGAACTAAGTGGAAAGCTTAATGAGAACAAATTTTAAAACTAAAACATAAGTAGGTATATATGATAGACAAATGCTGCATAAATTATAAGGAGGTAAATAGTAAACATGGAAAATAAAGAAAACTGTTTGGATGCTTGCTAGAATTAATGGAAATCCACGAAGTAATTTATCCCAAGAGAGCAAATCTGAAAAAGATTAAGGTTTATAGATGTGTGCAATTGAAAGCTTTCATCTTTGGTGATTACGTGTAAATTTAGGTTGCTTGGTAGCTAGGTTGCTTTGTAAAATATGTGAAGTATAAGGAATTAAGTATATATGTATTAATAATTGTTAGTGAATATGCATTATGATGAAAAACCCAATTAAAATATTTTTTTTAAAAGAACATGTCACTCTTGCATTTCATTAATTTTTGATCCCAAAGTTTTTGTCTATGCCTGTGTGTGAGAAACAGTGTGTGTTTGTGTGTGTGCATTTACACATGCTGAGGACACAGGGTTGCCAACCTTCTGGTGGGGTTTAGGGATTTCCCAGAAATACAACTGATCTCCAGACAACAGAGATCAGTTCCCCTGGAGAAAATGCTTGCTTTGAAGGGTCAACCATATGGCATTATACCTCACTGAGGTCCCTCCCCAAACTCCATCCTCCCAAAGCTCCATCCCCAAATCTCCAGGAATTTCCCAGCCCAGCATTGGCAATCCTAGACACACTTCATGTATCTGATGAAGCTCTAGTCCACAAAATAATAAATAATAGTAATAATAAAATAATAAATAATAATAAAAATTAGTAAATCTTAAGGTTCCTGAAGACACTTTTTGTTTTTGCTGCAACGGACTAAAAATATTATACCTCCCTGAATAAGTTATACTGGGTATTGGAGAAACTTTTAAAGAATGTCGATTCCCTGTATTCTTTTAGCAGTCATCATTATTTTAAATTTATTTCATTAACGTAATGATTAAGTTCTATATAAGAAAATATTGAAGTCTGCCTTGCATAGGTATCTCAATTCTGTTACTGTTTATGTTTTGTTGATGTTCTGTTACTGGTTGATGTTTTGTTACCGACTGATGTTATCTTTGAATATTTTTCTTAATAATTTCTTTTAATTATACCTCTGCAAGGTTGTTGATAGGTCACATAAACAGAAATGAGTAACAGTATTCTGCGACCTTTCTGTATACCATACTCAAGCATTAACACATGTTGTTAATATACTTTGAATCCTATGAGAATATGCATACATGTTATCCACATTGTGGAAGCCTACTCACTGGCTGTTACAGATCATTGGCAATAAGCATCTATAAATGGAAGATATGAAAATATTAATGTGCCTGCAACATTATGCACTGTGGGTACTGATGTTAATGAAAATCAAGCATCCTTTAAAAAAAATAGTGTTATGATTTGAGTCAGTTTTGTTATCATTTAATGTATGCCTTTTAAGCCTTGCCACCTTTTCTGTATGTGTGTGTAAAATGCAGTCAAGTTACAGCCGACTTACGGCGACCCAGTAGGGTTTTCAAGGAAAGAGATGTTCAGCGGTTTACCATTGCCTACTTCTGCATAGCAACCTTGGACTTCTTTGGTAGTCTTCCATCCAAGTACTAACCAAGGCTGACCCTGCTTAGATTCCAAGATCTGATAAGACTGGGGTTGCATGGGCCATTCAGGTCAGGATTTTTTTTTGCATATGGGGTCTATAAAAGTTGTATGAGCACGAGAGAGGTTTTTCCCATCGCTGCATCTCCATGCTAGGAAAACTTGATTTCTGTATTGATGGCAAGAAGCTTAAAGTCATACAGGTCTGTCCATAAAAAGTGCCAATCTTGTTTCATGTTCCATTATGTTCAGAGCTATAATTCTATCAGGGAGTACTGAACGGTAAATGACAGAGACTGCAACTACATTTTTCCAGAATAACACAGGCATGTTATACTCCTTCCTCGTTAGTTCCAAACTCCCAGTGTCTCTTACACACACTCCCAGAACCAATTACAAAATACCAATGATTAACTTTACAGATGCAGATCAGGCTTTATATTGTGAGTGTGAAAGGCAACCACTTTGTTTTTCCTGGCAGGATTTCTGTGCTGTTAAAAGCTCCCCAACAGGCAGAAATTCAACAGAGAACGTCTTTCCTAGCAAGAAAAATACAGAAACAATTGCATGTTCAATTTCTACATGGCATACAGTTGCAAAAGCATGAGAGTCCCTGAGGCGGGAGCAATTCATGTAGGTTACTGGAATTTACCGTAAGGTGAGATGAGCGCGCTTTTTGTACTGGCCGGAGCCTTTTAATGGTTTCTTATTCCGTCTCACGTTTCTAATATGGAGCTGCGGAGATCAGCCATCAGAGACGAACTGCTGATCGGCACGCTCCGCTCTCCCCCGGGCGACGCGTCAGGAACCAGAGGAATGAGTAGTTTGCCGGGAAGGGGCGTGGCCAATGGGGTCAGGGAGGGGCGGGGCAGAGAGGCTCCGAGAGCGGGAGGAGAGGCGGTCTGTTTGAAATGGATCCACGGCCGGGCAGTCCCTTTCCAAGCAGCAGGTCAGGAGAAGCGGTTCAAAAGGACGCGGTTTTTAGTGGGAGCAGCAGGAGATGCCTTTCCTCTTATTACGACTCGTTTTTCCCACTTTGGGCGAGCCGGTAGTTGTAGCTGTGCTCGTTTTATGCTCGACGGCAAAATGGAAGTAAAAAGCCAGCCTTGTCTCTCCCTCCCCGCGTGTTGTCTGATCCCCTTGGTGGTAGCTGCGCTGTTTCCCCTCTGGGACCCTCCGTAAAGACATCCGCGCCTTAAGGGTGGCGAATGAATAAAGTTTTGGCGAAGGAGGGATCGTGCTACTGATTAAAAAGGGGTGGTGGTTTAAAGGCCGCTGGGAAGTGTTTCCTGCTTCTTGGGCGTTCTCTGAATTTTCTCTTTTACTCCCTCGGCTGTTAACGTCCGGGGGGGGGGGGGAAAATTTCGGCGGGGGCTCACGCCCCGCCGCCCCCACGAAGATTACGCCTATGCCGTCATCACCTGCCCGGGCGGCTAAATGCTTGCCTGTGCCGTCCACTCTCTTCCTCGGGCCCCCGTGGGACGATTCTCGCGACAGCTGGTACTGCGGGGCTGCTACATGCTGAATTACACGATATTGCGGAGGGAACTCTCCAGGCGGGCATTGCTTTTCTTCTTACCTGTTAGAGAACTCGACAACACGACGGGCACAAAGCAGGTTTTCCACCCTCATAATTTCTCTTTCATTTTCAGTGTTAATATTGCAGTATTTGGTCTCTATGGTGAAGGATGCCTCTGTTTGCCTGAAAGTAATAGCTTTCTCCATGGTCGGGGACAAAGGGTGGCATTAGGGGAACAGCTCTCCCAACGGAGAGCTGGTGTGGAGTGCCTCAAGGGGTGATGCTTTCCCGATGTTATTCAACATCTATATGCGCCCCCTTGCCCAGATCGCCCAGAGTCATGGGCTGGGATGTCACCAGTATGCAGATGACACCCAGCTCTATCTGATGTTGGGCACGCAGTCTGGCTCCAGACCAGAAGATCTGGACCAGGCTTTACAAGCCGTGGCTGGTTGGCTTAGACTGAGCTGACTGAAATTGAATCAGACAAAGACGGAAGTCCTGTGCCTGAGCTGGGGCGGTCCAGGGGTAGGGATTCCACTCCCAACCTTCGATGGGGCGCCATTGGTGCCAGCACTGGAGGTTAGGAGTTTGGGAGTGCTCTTGGATGCCTCCTTAACAATGGTAGCAGCCAGTGCCAGGTTGGCCTTTTACCACCTTCGATTGATCAGGCAGCTGGTTCCCTTCCTCGAACGCAACAACTTGGCAACGGTGATCCATACGATGGTCACCTCGAGATTAGACTATTGAAACGCTCTCTACATGGGGCTGCCCTTGTCGCAAATCCGAAAACTGCAGCTAGTACAAAATACTGCGGCAAGGCTCCTGATGGGTCTCCCCATGAGGGAGCACATCCAGCCTGTCCTGAAGGCATTGCACTGGCTGCTGATAGCATACCAGATTCGCTAAAAGGTGCTGGTTCTTACCTTTAAAACCCTTTATGGCCAAGGTCCAACATACCTGAGGGACCACCTTACCTCATATAGACCCCAGACAGCACTAGGGCTAGGGTCACAAAACTGATTGGCCCTCCCAGACCCCAAGGATGCTGGGCTGGCTGCAACCAGGTCCAGGGCTTTCTCGGTGGTGGCTCCATACTGGTGGAATGAGCTCCTGGAAGAGATCAGGGCCCTGCAGGGGCTTTTACAATTCCACATGGCCTGCAAGACGGAGCTCTTCCACCAGGCCTTCAACTAGGAGCCGCCACCATTATCAACAACAACTGAAACTTACATAGCCTGGCACTTGGTTTGCTACTGACATCCTGTGCCCGCCGATGATATCTGAGAAGACAAGCGAGCTGAACATTTAGACAATTATGGTTTGCACTCATGTGGTACCACCATCTTATGATATCAAAGAACGCTGCTAGCACTTTAATATTGTATTGTTTTTAATGAACTGTTTATAGATGTTTTATGGTAATTTGATTGTTATTTGTGTATTTACCCTGTGTAAGCTGCACTGAGCCGGCCTTGGTGGGGAAGGCGGGGTATAAATTGGAATAAAAAAATAAATGGTTGAATGGCTATTGTTGCCCTTCAACCTTAAGAGTAGGGGAATATTTGGTGGTTAGCAAGAACAGAAGGAAAAGCACTTTGCATTCACCCAGTGATGCTGTAGCCTAACTTTACATGTTCCAGCATTATATATATATATATGGATTTTACCACTTCTGCCCTCAGTTACGCTGTTTGCAGAAGCAGGGTCAAAGTGGCCTCCAGCAGTTTGCAGAAAGGCCTACCACTTTTTTCTGCTCTGCAAAATGAGTTCCTAAAGCATGATCAAAAGTATTTTCTCTTCTCATCCTGGGCAGAGGAAGAGAGTGGCTTTATCTGTGCTCTTTAAGTGGACTCTAATCTTTGGCTTAGTTTTCATATTGGGGGTGGTAAACTGTGTGGCCTCCTTCAGCCCCGTGACTAGCCACAAAACGCATTTACTGTGTACATTGAAGTGCTGTCCCCTTCATACATTACTTCATTAATGTTGAACTGTCAAGGGCTGGAGGAGTCCAGCAGCACATTTCCCATTCCTGTGACAGCATGCATAAATAAATAAATAAATAAATAAATAAATAAAAGCTGTTTGTTCAGTAGCAACTTAGGTTGGAGAAGCTATGCACTGTGGTACACCTACCCAAGGCCATAGTTCAGGATAAGCCCAGATCATTGTCCTTGTTGCATTTAATTTTGTGTGTGGCTTTCTCTGTCTTTTCAAATGGACGTTTATCCCTATGCATACCCTGATGAACTAATTCACTATTTAGAGTCCAGTGGCACCTTTAAGACCAACAAATGTGTATTCAAGGTATGAGCTTCTGTGTGCAAGGCTCTAAATTTGCTCTACTGCTTCAGACCAACACGGCTGACTACCTGGATCTAATTCACTATTTGTTGAGTACCTAAATCCTAACCATTGTGCAGAACATTTAAGAAGTCAGGCTTGCCAACAGTTTTTTTGGTGGCACTCAGATATTGTGAAGCATCCAAATGTAACTTCTGCCAAAAAGGAAAATGTGCAAAATAAGTTGTGGTGTATGATAGTGGCTAGATTTGGGGGTGGGGGCGCCAATCCTTTGAAGAAAAAAAGTATTAAAGGAATATAGAACAGGGACCATTGAGAGGAACACAATAAGTTATCTTTCAAGATAAATTGAGCAAAAGTTTTAATTTCTTTAATCATTCTATTTTCCAGAGATTTTTTTCCCTGTACGGATACTTATTTCCACCAACAGGGGGCTCACTCTCCCCCAACAGCTTTTCCTACATAGTCAGTAGACTTCCTGGGTTTGTAGAAAAATCCAAAAACTAAAAAAATCCCTTCAGGGACGGCTGAATTCTCCCCAAAACCTTTTGAAATGTCCTCTGCAGGGATCTGCTTCAGGCATCAACTTTGAGAGATTAGAATGTTGGGGGGGACTTCTAACGGGCTCTGTCAGTAAAAGGGTGGGGGAAGGGCCCTTTCCAGGCCTCTTTTGGCCTTTAAGGGGGGGAGGAAGGGAGCCTTGGGGCCAGGCCTCACAAGAGTTGCCAGTGCCAGGCTGGGGGATTTCTAGAGATTTTGTGGTGGACTCTAAGGAGGGCTGGGTTTGGGAAGGGAGAGGCCTCAGCTGGGTATAATGCCACAGAGTCCACCTTCCAAAGCAGCCATTTTCTGCAGGGAGACAGACCTCTGCTGTCTAGAGTCCAGTTGTAATTCTGGGGGGGGTCTCCAGGTCCCATTTGGAGCTTGGCAACTCTAGGCCTGGCAGTAGTCTAGGATTGCCAGGTCCCCCCTGATTTGCATGACTCACCTAGCCTTGGCTGCTTGCTACTGTTCATCAGCAGCCACCCTATTCTTGCGGGTCTCCACTTGTTATGTATAAACTTACACAAAGGATCCTGAAATGGAACTTGGACAGTGATGGTTCACAAAATACAACAACAGACTGCATTATATCATAATGATTTTTCTGTTTCAAGTTTGTGGGGAAACTGCCAGACTGAACACATCCTTTATCTTATTTGTAAGCATATACTCAGCCTCCTCTCTTTCTACTTGCATTTTTTCCTTTTTATTGTTAGAAAACAAATGGTGCTAGAAAACAAAATGTGGAGTTATGTGCGTATTGCTACCTTTCTCTTTTCAGGTGATGGAACATTGGATCCTCAGTAATGGAGGTGAGTGATCTACCATGTATCTTTATAGCAGCTCTTCAGCCAATTCTCAGTTCCAAAGGAGCGAAACTCCATTACTGTAGCTGTGGAAAGCAGAAAGTACCCATGGCTTTTCTGCAGATGCTGTTTTTTATGTGTGTATAAAGTTCCATCAAGCCACAGCCGACTTATGGTGACCCCAGCAAGGGGCTTTCAATGCAAGTAAGAAACAGAGGTGGTTTTGCTATTGCCTTTCTTTGCAGAGACTTCTTTGATGATCTTACTTCCGAGATCTGACAAGATAGGGCTATACCCATGCCACCTTTTCTCCCTGCAATTTTTTATACATATGCTTTTATAATCATTGCTAGAAGATGGGCAATTTAAGCCTGTGTGTATCTGCTTTCAGTGGAAGTTACTCCCTAGTAAGTATGGATATGAACTGAGCCTTAAGAAGTGATGCTTTATAAGAATCACTCATTTAAATAATTCAGTGGTGACACATAAAAGAACCACTAAGCTATGTGTATATTAGTACATATAATCTTCACAGTTTAAGAGAAATGAGAATAATGTTGTTCATGGAGACAAAAATAATTCAGATCTTTGACCTTTAGAGAAGCAAGAATTCTAGAGCGAATTTAGTTTCTATGTTCAGTTTTCTGCAATGGTGCCAAAAGGCTTTATCTTAATTGGGAAATCAACTGTGGTAAGTAAGCATACAGGATCCCATGGTAGTTATACACAATAACTGGTGGCCTGGGTTGGGGTGCATCAGACACATCCGGTGTGAAGTGTGGTTAAAACTAGCACATTGGGGATATATGTATGCACATGGAAAAGCTTAAGTTGGATTTTTATATAAGAAATATCAGGTACTTACTGGGCACAAACTTTCTTTGTTTCAGTAAATTATATCAGGTGCCTTCATACGATGTTTTTAAAGTTCCCCAAGACCTAGTGTAGTTTAGTGGTTAGAGGACCAGGCTTGAACTGAGAGACTTGGATTCAAATTCCTTCAAGCCATAAATCTCATTGAGTGATCTTGCATCAGTCACTCTCCTCACTCTTGAAACTTGTAAAGCATAGTGCTGCGGCTTCCACTGCTGTTGTGAGGAAACATCCGGTACTTTTATTATCCACAGACAAAACAGCATTCAGTGCTCAGAAAACTCTGTAGCATCACAACAGTATGTGTCTTTGAGAGAACCATGTAAACAGGGCACAGAAATTGAGTAATAAAGATGCCTTTGCTGGGTCAATGACCAATTACACAGAAAGGCTCATTCTTGTTCATAATGAGCTAAGTAATAACAATCCCCTTTTAATTATTTTCTATTTTTTTCATATTTTTCTTTGTGTACATTTTCCTTCATTGAGTAAACTCCCCAGAAATGCTTATCACATTCTGATGGCATCTTTGCCTTAGGTCCTAGGAAGAGCCATTTGAGCAATAGAGAATGGGTCTCTTTGTTTGGAAGGTATGAAGGTACACCCAGCTTCTTCTTCATTAATTGGCCATTCTTCTCCAGAAGTGAGAAATGCCAACTGCCCATCAGATTGACCCCCTCCCCCAATCTCCGGTGAAAGGTGAGAGCTTTGCCAACTCCCTTAAAATCTCAGGACAAACAAACTCCAGTGCACATTCCCACACGAAGGGTGCTGAGTGTTGGTTTTGTGGGATGTGTCCATGCTGGGAGACAGGCATTCTGCTCTGTGGAACTCCAGAACAGTTTATTAATGTGACTTCAGTTTGCTAGGGAAAAGTACAGGTAGCTCGAGTTGCAGCTCTTTCTGTTTCTTTGGACTGCTTTGCATTTCTAACCATGTGTCCCCCCTGCCAACTCTCCCCTCACTTTGGTTTTCTCTGTTCAGGTAATGCCTTTAATGTGGCGATACATCTCTCTCAGGTCCTCCTGTATTGCTAAAACAGCCTTTAACATCCTTTTCCCTGTGTTTTCCCCCCAGAGCTGGACATGTTTGCATAATTTATGCACCTTAGTCTAGTGACTAAGGAGCTTTGAGGTGAGTCAGTGAGTATCTCTGTCTGCTCTCAATGTGCCAAAACCCATTTGGACAGAGTTATAGTGCTACCAGAAATCCAGCAGCTCCTACCATGCATAAGCAGGAAAAGAGTGGGATGCACCAGAAGGGGAGAATGAGCTAACACTGCTAAGGAAATCCTCTTGGGCGGAAAAGTGGTTCCTTCTCACATTATTTTCCATTACAAGCTACCATAGTTGTTCTTTTAAAATATGTAACAGGAAGGACAGTGTAGCTAAAGAAATGTGTTGGGGTGCTTTAGACACACCTGCCTCTTCAGGAAACCTGCTTTACAGATGCTCAAGCCACAGTAATCCAGTTGATCTCTGAGCCACTATTCTATGTTATTCTTGTCTCTACAGGTTTGAAACTAGCTTTGTGTTTGTCAGCTATCAGAGAGAATATGGCTGGCATTAATGATCAATTAATGCTGTAAGTGTCGTTGTGTATCTTTCTGCAGTCTGTAGATATCGAGTCGAAGCATAGCTACATAGGAAGCTTTATTCAGCCTCCGCATAAAATATCCATTCCATTTGCTGACTTATGGCCGAAGAAGACAACAGCTGTTGCAACAGACACTCCTGCACCAAACAGCCAAGGTAAATCACTGCAATTATTATTACTAATGTGAAACCTATTAACAAATCATCATGGTTTCTGTTGAATGAATTTTGGGACCCCTGGTTTGAGCATAGAGCTTTATCAAGATCCAAGGAAAATGTCTGGAGAACACTGTGGGGTTGATTTACAAATCTTAAATAGTGAAGAGGTTATCTGTGGTATTTATCAGAGCTGGTGTCTCTTCCAGGTGCAGCTAGGCAGGGGTGGGGCCTTATAATTTTCAGGTACAGAATAAAGGGAAATTGCCTGAGAGGAAAGACACATTCCTGTTTTAGCTTGCTTTGATTTGGTAGGTGGCCTTTCCTGGCAAGATACTGTGGCTCCATTGAGAGAGAATGCCAAATCATTTCTTACATTAACAATTTGACCAAAAGATGGGGTATAAATCTTTTAAATGTGTAAACCATAGTTAAGAACCTGAATGGTGGTTTGAGCTTCCAAAAACACAGGTAGAGTATTGTATTGTTTTCTAATAGCCCTTGTATAAGGTAAATTGGAACAAAGCTTGCTTGCTAACTTTCCAAGATTGCTGGAGTATTTATTTTATTTCTAAAATGCATGCTCCACTTTTCCAGTTTCTGCTCAAAGCTTACAACACATATTAAAAACACTACCCAACATAAAATCACAACCTTCTACCACAAGTTGAAAAAAGGAATTTGTTAAGTTTTCATGTTCAGATTTTTGAAAACTAGAAGATATTTCTTTAGAAGTAGCTTGAAGTACAAGAGACTTCAGAAGAGATTCTCTGTTGAATATTTCCCATAGTTTTTCCCATGTGTTTGGCATGAAGCCATTTTGGGGGGCTGAAAATGAAATATATCTTATTGATGGTGGATTATGCAGGAGATATCTCTTTAATATTTTACTTCATTTGCCCTTGGACTATTTTGTTATCTGAAAACTCTGTTGGTTCTCTGAGTAAACCAAACATTGTATGTGGGGTGGGGGGAAAGGAGGAATAAATGCCTTTGCTCTACCTAGAGAGCATGAAATGCACGAATGCACTTGAGTCACCTTTCTTCTCTTGGTCAAATATCTTTCAGTGACTAATTATGTCATTTTGTGTAGACAAAAGTGCCTGGTCTGCCATCTATGCAAGGTTAACTTGGGTCACCTTCTGTATTAGGACCTTATGCGAGATGTTTGTCCATTCCCAAATGCTGGCTGCACATGACTGAGTCCCGAAGGTCCAGTGCCCAACTGGCAAAGTCCACCCTCAGTTAAGAAATTCCCTTCTACTGTTTACCTCCAAACTCATAGAAAGTGCTGCTTACTCCCACAGTCTTGACTTTCTCTCCTCCAATTTCTCTATATCTACACAATACCCTCAGGTAACCTCCTGAAATTCTATGGCTTTCAGTATATCACTTAGCCTTACCTCTGTGCCCCTGAATTTTCCCCTTACCATTCAGTTCTGCACTTCCAATTTTTTTGTGGTGACAACTTGGATGCCTTATAGTTGTCTCAAATTCCAGGTGTCCAAGACTGAGCTCTTCATTTTTTCTGCCAGTCCTCCTCCTTGTACATTCTCCATACATCTCTTCACACTCTGTAGAACAGGCATAATATCATGGCTTTGTCAGTGACTGTTCTCTCCCCTTTATTATTCAATCTGTCACTGTCGTCACTGTTTCCTTTACAGCATTGCAGAAATGGAGCACTTCTTCTCTGCCAGCTCAGCAAAAACTCTGATTCATGTTTGGTTTCTCTCTGGACCTAACCAGTGTGACGACTTTTTCTGTGGTCTTTATTGTTCATATGTTGCCCCTCTTCACTTCAGTGCAGCCCTTTGCTAAAGAAAATCACACACCTTTCTCATCATTCTGACCATGTGATGCCCCTCCATAAATTCCCATTGCTGGGTTTTGGTCCAGTCCTAAATCCAACACAATCCCCTTATTGTCAAAGGCCTTCAGGTTTTCCCATATCCCTTTGATTTCATATCCTGATAGGCTCCTCCATCTCCACCGCTGCTGTATGTCCTCAGACAACTCTGTCTGTTCCCTCTTAATGCTCCTTCTGCCTGAAATTACCTCCCGGACCCATACATCACCGATGTCATTTACTTCAAACCTCCCTCAAAAGCTTTCTTTTACATGAAGCCTTTAACATAGCTCCTTAGTTTCCTTCTTCTACTTAAACTAACTCCTAAGTACATTGAACTGGAAAAAATGCATATTTTCCCCTTGATTCTCTCTCTTTTCTCAAATTTTAAGCTGCTTGAGGCAAGAATGTATCCTGTACTCTAGTCTAAAGTACTATGTACATTGATGGTACTATTATATATAAATAACTGTTATTTTTGGCAGAAATTTAATATTATTTCACTATACTCTTTGCTCTGTTCCATTGGTCTAGTTCAGCTTGGCATTAAACATATTTCTTCTAGTACCCCAGAACATAGGTTATGCCAGGAGGTACTACTAGAACTACAAAGCCGATCTCATTTCTGTTTGTGTGATTAGGTAATTCTGCAGCTAGGAATAGAGATATCTGCTGATCTTCTTCCACTTGAGTAGTGGCTATGTAGAACTGGATGTTGTAAGAGAAAATGAGAGATCATCTTATCTCTGCCTCTTCAGCTTTCCATTCAAATGAAGGGTGTGTGGTTGTTTAAACAATTGTATGTTTCAGGCAGGTAAAGAGGCATGCAGAGATAAAATGACTAGTTATGTAATATCTCAGCTGTTGCAGATTGATGCAAGGTATTCTAATTAATATAACTGAATTTGGGCTCTGTTGATATAGCTGAGCTTCTAGCAACTTAAGCCCACTTCTCCAAACCCACTATCCTTGCTTTTTAGATAGACATGACTGGTTTATATATGAAGTATAAAAATAATTAAGAATTAAGTTGCTTGTTCACTAGCTCTAGTGTCAGCTCTGAAAAGTCTTCAAGAAAAGATCCATCGCCTTGAGTTGGAGAGGTCACAGGCTGAAGATGACCTGAACTGCTTGTCCAGAGAAGCTGCCCAGTATAAAAAAACTTTGCAGCATGAATCAAATGACAAGGATATAGCTCATCAGGAACTGATGCAAGAGAGGAAAGGTATTTCCCTGTATTGCTGATAACAGACTAACCAGCCACATCTATTACACCTTAATCCCAGAGGAGTACTTATGTTGCTGGTTTGACATGCTCTGTTTATTTCCTCTCCTAATGTGTAATTAGGCTCTGTAGTAAACAGGGCTGTCTAGTGATTCAGTAATTTTTAGCTGATCATCTGCCTTCCGATTCTTTAAGCTGTTGACTGAATTTCCATGTTGCCCAAACCTTAATGAGGGTTTGAGATACTGAAACAAATATAAGATAACTTACAATTTAAGGAAATTTTGCTTAGTCAATGATATAGTAGTTCTTCTGGCCAATGCTTAGTGCTTATTGTATGAAGGGAAAAATATCTTCAATACTTTCTTTTTAAAATTTCCCATGAAACTAATTGCTAGTGCTATTCTTGTACTGGTTTTATGTGAGTCATAACACATTTCTAGATTTTCTTATGGGGTGAAAACAATTTAAAAGTTCCTGAGTGAGTTTCTGAAGTGGCCTCAGCAATTAATGCCTCTCTACAGTAGATACACAAATACAAGTGGGGTAGAATAATGACTGATTCTGCGGCTGTAGATCAGGCCCTAGCTGTCATGAAACTTGAATTTTATTGCAATAATGTTTCAACCTGGAGTTGTAAATGAAGTTATAAATGAAATAAACATTCACCCTTCCTTTTCCCATGTATTAGATGTGAGTGTTCAGTTAAATACAGCACAGTCTCGCTGCTCCTTGTTGGAGAAACAAGTAGATTACATGAGGAAAATGGTGATCAGTGCAGAGTTGGAAAAGAAATTGGTTCTGGAACAGCAGGTACACAGCTGTAATTCTTTATATTCTGTCTTTCCACTTCCTTTGTTGCCCTATGTCGAAAAGGTTGTGCCATAACTTTATCTGTGCATCTTTCTTCCCTTATCTTGGTTGTCTACCATCTTCAGAGATGGTGTTTTAAAACAAAGATATACCCTATTTAGTTCAAGTTGCTCATGACTCATGCTCAGTCTTCATATAGTAGCTACAATAAACAAACATAAAGTCATATTTCATCTTGTATTTCCTGCACTGTATTTCTCTTACTGGCTAAATTAACCTATCCCCATCCCACAGATAACAAAACTAGCAAAGATCCCTTTGGGAATAAGGGCTCATATTTATTTATAATTAATATCCTCTTTTGTTTTCCCTACCAATTTTGGGCATAGAATAAATCAAAATAGGTGCTCAAATATTATTCCTGAATTTTTTAAAAATAGAAGACTTTTACAGGATTATCAATTGAGATTTGAAGTAACCTTTTTAGGATAGGTGATGGGAACACTTTCATAATTATACATAAAGAGGTGTTCTGGTGTCCAAGAAACAGCTCTTTACATTGTGTAAAAAGCTGAGGATGGTTTGGGTTGAAATATATCAGTAACTACATATTCACTTTTTCTAGCTGTCTGAGAACCTGAACAAAGTGGAAATATTGGAGTCTTGTATTTCGGCCCAAATCTAAAATTGTCAAATGCAAATGTTACAAAAAAACTAGTCACATGAGTGCCATGTGCAACAGACTCTCTAAAAATACATATTCCTAATCATATTCTGCACTCATGGATTAGTTTACAGTGTTAGCCAGTGCCAGCTGTTATGTGTAGATTTGTATGCATCTGTAAGCCTCTTACTATATGCCTAAGGCACTTGCTGAATCAGGGTTCTACCTCTGACATCTTTTGTGGTACTGAATTTGCTATGAATCATTTAAGCAAGGTTTGCAGTTGGTTGCAAAATCGTTCTCTCATGTACATTTTCAGACCCAGCTCCAGAAGGAAAAAGATCAAAATCAGGCAGAGATATGTGCAAAACTTGACAAGCTTGAAATTCTAGAAAAAGAGTGTTGGCGACTTACTGGCACTCAGAAAGATGCAGAAGTAAGTAAATCTGGGACCATTGTTAGTCGGCTTCCAAGTAGCATTATCCTAAGATCCCAGCACGTTGCTGGAGCAGAACCAGTGCTGCTAGTCAGGGGTCATATACTTTCCCAGCAGAGCGGTATACACGAAAGAAAAAACTCACCAAGGGTCAAAGAGCATAACAGCCTCAACACATCCCATCAGTCATGGAGGGTGTGTCAATAATATCCCCATGATGGTGAGATGGATATGATCAACTAGCACTTGCTGACATGGCCACACTCCTACGATGTCAGGCCACCCGACCCGACCCTACCCTACGTTCAGACCACATCAAGGGAGGGAACAAAGGGAACACACCCTCTTCCACTGGAATGAGCACCATGGTGTGACCAGGAGGAGTCCAGAACTGAATATTCTCCAGGGTACTCTGCAGACATGGGTTTGAGTTACCTCCTGCAGCCAAGTTCCCTTGTGCTAGGTTCACATAACAGAGAAAGAAACTTGGCTGTTCTAGCCACAGCATCCACATGCTCTTGTAGCTCATTAATGGATTTGGGTCTTGGGGTACACAGTTTTGCCAGATAAGGGGTCTGCAGAAGCAAAGGAACACACAGTGGCATCTTCACAGAAGGCATTTCTGTCAACGCCCTGGTAGCTCATTGGGAAAAGGAATCCATGTGTCAACCAGGGGCCATGAGTTCAGATCTCACTAAAGGATCCAACAAGAATAAAAACCTCACCTTTGGCCAGCAGTGGACAACAGAAGGACAAGACAACTCATTCAGTTTGGGAGCAATCTTCCAGCCAACCACACAGGAAAAAGACTTTGCATTAATATTCCCCCAGTTGTTGTCTATACCACCCATATGTATCAAGGCAGGGAGGACAATGGAGAATGGCACAGCAAATCCACAGTTGCTGGTTCAAATTCGGCATGTGGCTGGGAATTCCACAATACGGCAAAATCTCAGCTATGCCTTAAACTGGGAAAGATTCACAAAGGTCAGCTCCTTCCACCAACAGGTTTTTTTAAAAAAAGCTGTGCCAGGGTTCTTGCTGATAGAGTGTTATACTGGCATCGGGGGCTGAAGCAGTTTATGATGCTGACAAAGTCCTGCACCTCTTCTGACATGCCTTCAGGGTTGCACTGGCCCAGCACATATTCCAGCTATGCCAGCACAGCACAGGGTTTAGTTGCCATCCTAAACTGTTCAAAGCTGGAGTTCAGGATTACACTGTGAACCTAGCTGAGTCTTAAGGATTTATGTGTTCCTTTGGTACCATGAAGACAATGGTGTGTCTGTTCTTAATCTCAGCTTCTTTCATTTGAAAGCTTCAGTCCTGCTCTTCAAAATGGCATAAGCATTACAAGCATTTGGTTCATCCATGTTCTTGTGTATTGTCTCTCTTATTTTAATTTTTCCCTGTATTTTTAAGGAAAAGATCAAACACCTACAAGCAAAGCTTCAGGAAGAACAACACCATCGTAAGCTAATACAAGACAAGGCAGCCCAGGTGGGAAAGCCAAGCTGTAGCATTTTCACAATAATGCAGTGAGCTGGATCCTGCAATCCAGCATCACAAAGCACTGATGTTGGTGGGTGGTCTAGGCTGTCTCCTCCCCTTAGCAGGCAAGTCTGACCCGGCAAAAGTTTTTCCCAGGGTTGCATGATCATTCGGGGTGGGGCGGGAGGGGACAGAAATCATTTCTTCTTGCCTCTTGAGTGAGCAGAACTTTGCTGAGGTAACAGGCAGAAGGCAGCAGTTTCCCACAGCAGCTTCCCAACCTGCATAGCTGCATGTGGGTCCTGCGACTCTGGGAATACACTTTCCTGGGGTTGGAAATGACTGCTGGGGGAGGGGAGAGTGGAGAAGATCAGGAATCCTTGTGCTTGTTCCAACATGATAGCAGGATCTGCGGGGAAACCTGGGATTCATTTCTGATGTAACCACCTCTGGTACTAAAAACAAACCCTTAACATGACAGTGCTTTATTTCCCGAGTCTCTGTTAATTTGGACTTACCGTGCAACTTGAGCCCCTTGTGAATAAAGCATATGTAACCTTTCTCAACCCTGCCCTGCTTTGCTTTTGGAAAACTTCAGTGTCTGGAGAACTGAATTGCAAGATAGATTTTGAAGCATTATCTTTAAAGTTTTAAGTGAGACAGTATTTTATTGTAGTGAAAAGATAGTGCCCTTACTGTCCTCTCTTTCTAAAAAGAAGCTATTCATTGGCTTCTGCTAAACAATGTTGTTCTTCTACATGAAATCTAACCTTTTTCAAAATGCTTCTGCTACTTATAAGTAATGAAAGGCTGTCTCCCATTTGATTGCCATTGTGCCTTAAATCTCCCATCTTGCCTTCCCACCCAGCTATCTTTTCTGCCAGTTGTTGTTGTTATTGTAAATGCTAAATTTTTCTGTGAGATCTATGCCTGGGCAGAAGCATTTACAAAAACATAAACCTATGTATTTATAAATCATCCCGGGAACTATGGTTGAAAGGTGGCTTAGAAATGTACTAAACAAAAAAATGAATGTTTCTTTGGTGGCCCATTGTTGGGGGCCCAACTTTTCAGTACAGCAACTGTCTAAATGGGTAGGAAAAGCCATTACTCTTTCCTAACAAAGTAATATCTACTTTCCTAAATAATGTGCCATTGTCCAAACTTTGCCATGCAATGGCATAGGTGGCATCATTTACCATAGTCTCGCAGAATACGCTTGACTCAGAACAGATGCTTAATTAATGTTGTTTGTTCTGCATTCTGCCTGTTAGTAGAACAGGTTACTTAGTCCACCTCTAGGTGCAACTACACAGAGGTAGCTCATCTGTAAATGAAGTTCTTCAAGTAGTCATCTGCTCAGTCACACAACCCATCCTCCTTCCCTTCTGCTGGCTCTGTCCTCTCCTAACATATATGGAGCTGCTTATGGCAGCTACAAGAAGCTGCATGGGGAGACACTCACCCCACCCCTTGTGGCCTATGCCCAGGGGGAAAGCTCTCCCTTGTGAGAAGGGATCTGAGCACCAGTTATTTGGGTAGAGCATATTTTGAAGCTATTTTTGCACAAGCGTAGAACCCTTATGCCTGACTGCTCAGGTAACCATCAGAAGAACCCCAGTTACAGGTATAAAATCTGTTTAAATCAGAATATAGACTCTTGCCTTGGATCTGCTCACAGTGGGGTGTTGATGTTATCAGGGTTATTTCTCTGAACCTTTAATCGTTAATGTAATACTAGCTTTATCATTCCTGATAAAGCATCATCACTAAATCACTGTTTATTCTAGCCCTGTTGTAACTAAGCACTGCTTTAGAGCAGTAAAGAGCAATTGTCTCAAATGCTGTCACAAGTTCAGGAGATATTGCAAGATAGTTGAGAAAAGTACAGCAAATACAATGTGAATCTTAGGCTAAAATAGATCTACACAGCTTGTGACCAACAAAATCAAGTGCAAACCGGCAGCTATGTATGGTGGCTCAGTTCTTCTCCCTGTTACCTGTATGGGATTGTTAAAAAGTGGTGGAGTTGTCGAGCACTCCATGTGCTGTAGCACAAAGCTGATGAACTGCATTCTGCTTGGTAGATCACCATTTTGTACTGGCCTGACCAAATGCATTGCAAGGAAGTTCTGCTTTGTCAACAGAGAGCAATTAATGCATTCAATTGGAATATTTATTTATTTGGATACTTTTACTTTTCTTTCCTCCACTGAGTGTGGATTCAAAGCAGCTTACAATACAAGAAAACAACAGGTCATAAATACAAAAGTACAACAGTTCGTCCTGGCAGCAACTAATCCATAAGGAAATGGAACAGAGCAGGTGGTAAAAGTTCTGCCCCAGATGGCAGCAGTCTCTCCACGTGTTTCCTTCCTTTCAGGAGACAACTAGCTTTCTTTAAACTCGCAGGGCTGGTGGGGAGGAGCAGAGCGGGTGGAAAAGGCTCCACCCCTGCTGGCAACAGTCTCTCTCCAGGTGCTATATTGGTCACATACATTGTTTCACTGAAAGACAGAGTTAGCCCCAGTCTCCTATCTGTAAGAAGGCCTACCTCAGAATGGTTGAAGATGGAATTAAATGATGAAGTCTGTAATATTCTTTGTGCGTGGAAAGTACTGTATGAAGGAGCACTGCTAATGCTGATTTCAGCTGCCTACCATATGTTTACAAGTACAAGCTGATAATGATAGGTGCTGCACAGAACAGATGTTGCTAATGAGTTTAAACATGCAGTGGTCTGTTGGCAAACGTTTTGTACTGAGTTAACATATGCTAAAAAGTGCAGTTAACCCATTAAGAATATGAGCTCCTTGAGAGTAATCCAGATTCACTGGAGTGCTCTTAAATTACTCAGATGGTTCAGACAATCTGTTTACTTGATGATCTCCTGTACTACTCTGAAGCTATAAGATCCCTATCATAGTGGACTGTATTGATGCATGTTTCTTAAGTGATTAGTTAGCCATGAACTGGCCTATTTTCTCTCTCACCTATGGATTAAGAAAAAGGTCTTGCTTTTTTTCCTTTAAAACACTACAGCTCCAAACAGGACTTGAGATGAATAGAATTTTAATGACTTCTCTTTCACCTCAAAAAGAAGCAAAAAAGAAAAGTGGGAAGAAGAAAGCAGTAAAGGTAAAAAGTGTTTAAGTTCATAGCTATATCCTGGATGCTACTGAGAAGTTAGGCGGGTGGTTTATTTCTCTTCTGCAATCCATAGTTCCAGCATTACCTCCCAAGGCTGTCTAGGAAAATGCCTCTTATTTTAGCAAAGAGATTAAAAGTGAGTCATACTTATTGCCAGGTCTGACTACACTTTCCTAGTCTTCCAAAAAAATTGAGCTGGAATTCTGCAATTCCTCATGTTAAGATTGTTGGCTTTCGGCATCTTTTTGCATGCTCATATTTCAGGCAGTTGGAATAAGAACTTCTACGTTCAACATGCAGAGTAAGGTTGTATTCACAGCACCAGCTCCCCTGCTGCTCTAAAGCAGTGTCTGGTTTCCCCGATCTTTTGCATTTCACATGGTTAACTTCAGAGTCAATTGCAACTCTCATAGTATTAGGAACTTAGGAACTCAGTAAGTTAAATCATCAACAGGAAAAGGGTTTGTAATTCTGCAAAGAGCAAAATTTGACACTCTGGATAATTGCTTGGAATCATGTATTATCTGTTGTGACTCTGTTGTATCCTTCAAACGTTGAGACGTCCTGGCTGACTGGAAACTCAAATCAGGAGGACAAACATCTCCAGCACTGACATGTTCATGGAATAGTTTTCCAACTTGCTTCCTGTTCAAGGAAGTTTAGTTAAGAAACATTAGGGAAAATACTGTGCAAATGAGAAATAGGCCTGCTGCCTGTGCATGAAAAATTGTGAAAAGAATGTTTTAAAACCTAAATAATGAGAACGACTGAGCAGTGGAAGAGTAGAGTTCAAGCTTGACCCCCAAGGAATGAAGACCCTCGTAGGAAATAAGCCTGGCAATGGTGCCTAAATAAGGAACAAAATGGGTGTAATATAAATGTGAAGCATAGCTAGACTAAGATACTTTTTAATAGGGGGAGCATTCTTATATGCCAGAACACATCCAATTTTTAATTTTCAGAAAAATTCTAGTTTGAAGAAAGAATGCAGCCTACCAGCTGGAGCACTACCTTTTGTTGCTGGCAAGGTAATTATTATTTCCCCCCCTAAAATTAGGACTTATTTAGATTACTGCCTATTGTTAATGATTTTCTAATGTGCTGTTTTCCCTCAAGTCTGCCAGCTCAAGTCATTCCATTGTTGCAAATGTTTAAAGTGTCTTGCATATGATGAAAAGTCGTGGTCCACATTTAATACCACAAGGTCCAGAAGGAGCTGAAAAGAGGATATCTAGATGGACTGGTGTTTGCAGCTCTGGATCTTTTTGTTCTACATCTTCTTCTGCTACTGATAATCTTTCTGATCTTCTCTTGGTCATGCAGGATGAGCTGGGACAAATGAGCTTGTAAGTACTTATTTTTTAAATTTGTATATGAAGGATTGTGATCATTTGAGTTTGGCACAAAGAGTTTTGAAAGCAGTCTGGGAACAGACAGGGAACAAAGAGTGTTACACAAGTAGTGCCAGGAATGTTTCTATTTCTGCATTCCTTTTTAAAACTAATGTACCATAGAAATCAGAAGAAACCCTGTTAAAGTTGGATTTACTTTATAGTCAATGTAGCTGTTTATATTTGTAAAATAAATAGATTCACTTAAGCTGAGATCCAAGGAACCACATTACTGATGAGTTCCTGCAAGTCCAGTGGAACACTGAGCCTGCGTTTCTAGAGACAGCAGTTCCTCCTGCAGTGTGTAAACTGCTTTTGACACTAAAAAGACTTCCCAGGGCAATTTGGGACCTAACATTGGAAGGAGGGGTGCCATTTAAAGAAGAAAAGCACCTATGGCTAAATTAGAACACTGGAACCCAGCCACATCTGTATAGATAGTATAACAACGTTTCCAAACAGGCAAACATCCACATAGCAATAGAGTGGGGCTCTACTGATGTGTGCATTTTTATACTACAAGAAGTGGTGTCTTTTCTAGAGAGGACTGTAGTATGGTTCTCATGCTGTATTAACAGGAGGCATAATACTGCTTCAAAGGAACATACATGTGTTAAGCTCTGGAACAAGCAATATTGCCTAGCAGTGCTACAGTTGTCATTTGCTATTGTATGACTGAACAGCCCATTTTGTATGGTGGTAAATAAGTGAAAAATCACTGAAATATTAGTAGATGGGAAGAAATCATAGGAAGGATGGTGGACTGTTGGTGTAAACAATGGCTGACAAGAATGTCTTCAACAGTGAACATCAGGAACTGCTGAAGCAGATACAAGAAACTAAAAACCATGAAGTTCGGGAAGACCTAGAACGTGAACTGGAGTGTCTAGTGAAGCAGATGGAAATTAAAGGAGAGCAGATCACCAAGCTGAAAAGGCACCAAGGCAGTGTAAGAGACTAGTTTTGAGATCAGTAAAAGGGAAAGAAAAGACAGAGCAAAATTATGATATTTTCATGAAGCCAGTTCTTACAGTGAATGCTGTAAAATAAATCATGAATGGACATTTCTTATTAGTGTGCTGATATATACTGTCTGTTTAGTTTTAATTATCAGGACTAATTTAGACATTATAGAGGAGTATGTGAACAGTATCCTGATGTTTTTGTGGAGCTGGGAGTAGTTGTTACTGAAAAATAGCTTGGCAGCTGTCATTGGGAAGGAGAGCTACTTAATCCTTTCTCTTCTTTTCTGTTCCTGTATCACCTACTTTCTCACCCTTCGTAGGTAAAGATACGGGGTCACCTGTATATTACTCTCCACAGTGAGAGAAGTCACTTAGAGCAGTGGTCTTCACCCTCCTGGGACCCACCTTTAGTTCCCAGGTGGCAGCATAAGTCCCACTGTGGCTGGGAATTCATATGACATCAGAATCACAAAACAGGACAAAAAGGAGCCACAGTTAATGACCATGGCAGTGGAGAAGGATGATTCTGCACTGTAAGTGAGTGCAGAGCATGGGAAGAGCGACTGGCAAGGAGAGATGACCTGACAAAGGGAAGAGAAAGCTTTTGTGGGGTGGGGGATGTCTCTGGACCTACCACTGTTCTTGGTGTGTGTGTAAAGTGGTAGGAGACATGATATATATATTCATACTGCCATACTATAGCTTTCTGTGTTTAAGGATGGTGTATGCTTCAGTTAGTTCAATATTGTGTGAGCAGAGAAGTGTTCTCTAGCATAGTCATCTTCCTTTCTACATGATGAAGCTCAGGTTTCCTATAAACCAGTGAGGACTGTGCATTAAAGTGTGCTCCTGGAAGCAGTTGTGCCAGAGTCCAAGGTCATTCTCATATTCCTTAGGCGTAAACAGAGAAACTATGGAATTTAAATTGAATGTTACAAGACTTGTATTCTAGCATCTGCTTCAAGTTCATGGAGACTACCAGGATCCCTCCATTGTATAATTAACTTTATACTAAAAAAATAAACATTAGAAATCAACCTAGGCAAAATTTGACATGTGACATGATGTATCTTTGCCATATGATTCCAGTGATATTTCTGCATACAATAAAAATGTTCTTACGTCAAATACATAATGCCAGTTTAATTTGCTTATCTATTGCCTTGTGCATGTAACACTGTAAGGCTTTCTTATCAGAACTGTCAGAACACTGTACACTTTCCTATCAGAACTGTAATGGATCTTTTTCTTTGTAGGTCTATAAACTGAAGCAAAAGGCTCAAAAGCTGAAAAGAAAAGCAGCTAACGTTACATCAAAGCCTGATGACTATAAAGGAACTAAGGAGGTCACAGTCCCTCCAAGAGGCAGTGTGTGTGCCACTTGTTCTGTGAATAAGAGTACAAATTCTCTTCAGCTGTTAAAAAGTGCTCAGAAAATTCAGTCAGTATTGAAGAAAGATGACATCCTATGGGAACCATAGATCTCAAAACTAGTTTCAGAAATCACTATCCATCTGGAACTGGACTGAATAGAACTTTGATGCCTGATGCTTGTCTTGTCCACACACTCATACATTCTGACATTTAGATCTAGGGAAATGAACTTCTGTATTTCTATATTTTTAAAAATATATTTGTAATTTGCTTTTAATAAAGTGTAAATTCCTTTTTTAATTAAAGACTCTGTCAATCTGTATGGAGTAATACGTGTGTTACTTCTGTAACTATAACGTAATATAAATCTTACAGGGACTGAGTATAGGAGCCACACTCTTATTTAGACTTAATCTAGATCCAGTTCTATTCACTGCATCAGGTTTGGTCTCAAAATTGTTTAGCTAGTTAAAACCTATAACAAATAATAAACAGAACTGTACTTGAAGATTAGCCTCACTAGAGTATAAATGCTGCAAAAAGACTACAGATCTGAAATACATCTCTGTCTAATTCTTGTTGAATACTAAATGCTTATCAGTTAAATTACTGTAAAATGTAACACAGTGACAACACTGGAAGAGATTGGGAAGCCCTAGCACAAATACTAGAAAAATGCATAATAGCATAGGGCACAGGCTAGTCTTAAGTGTTAATAGTTATAGATAGATGACTTGCTATAAGTCATGTGACTTGCTGTAAATGAGTCCATACAAATGGCATAAAACTTTTCTGAATGTGGTATTTGTCATATCTGGTGGCCATACTGCACTAGTGTTGCGTATTTGCAGTCTATTTGAAAGTCAGGTAAAATCCCTACAATGGAGTGAATGAACTTCGGGTTTTCAGGCAAGTACTTTTCTGCATAGCATTCCAGGATAAAGGTAAGATGAAAAATCTGTGTGTTTTTCACAACATTCACCCTACAAAACTGTTGTGATAAGTTAATTCTTGGTCAATTTATAACAACAAAGTAATGTCTGACTTGTGCCATATGTAAGTGAAAAGAAGGATGAGCTTGCTACAAGAGCCCCTTGAGAAATAAGTGATTGACAGACATTGTAACTAGGCAGCAGAAAAGGTAGGGAATGTATTGCTAGTTCTGACTTGCAGAATCTAACGAATGTTCTGAAGCATTTATATTAATGATAGGAGGGGCTTGGTATCATGTGGTATTGCATGCATTAAATGGTGTCTGTTTAAAGAGGGACAAAGTCTCATGTTTCAATATGCTGTGATTCAATGATTGAAGCCAGTTGTGTACTTATCTTGTGATCCTATCTTTTCTTGTTTACTTCTAGCTGTAAAGATAAGATTTATGACTTTTCCAACAACTCACAATTATACAGATTTTTAGCTCAGCCCAAATCACTTCCAGAATGATAAAATAACATGAAGTACAAAAGTTTTTTCCCATGTATGAGAGCTACCTAGAAGTTCCCCATGAGAAATTGTGCGAGATTGCTTAAAAAGTGGAAGAACTTTGTATCTTAGATTAGGGGGTGGGAGGGGAGGCTGTACGTTGTAGCACTGGTCTGAAGACGAAATTCACAGTAAAGAAAAATTAAACTTCATTCTAAAGGAATTATATTCTGTTTTATAAAAACCAAAATGTTTTTATTGTAGTAGAAATTAAAGACAGAATGATTTTATGTAGACAGTTGTCAAAAGAACTGATTTTTCAAGGGCCAGTTCATATGTGTTTAAAGCAACTGCAATATTTTTACTTCAGTTTTATGTTGCAATGGCTGTTTACTACAAGAGAGATCCTATTTTCGATGTTGTCATCTGACACTCATTAATAATAATCATTTGTGTAAACTGCCTATTTAAAATATAATCACAGTTTACATCAGTGGGACAAACCTGCAGATCCTAAATATAGTTGCAAATGAACAGAAAGTTGTCCTCTTATGTCCCTTTATTTCAAAATGTTGATTACTAAAAATTACTATTTATATTGAACTTTGAATGAATTAATAGAATTTTTTAAATGAAGGACTTGGCCTGTCCCCCTCCCTCCCCACACACACACGAAGGCCAGTGTGGTGTGATACTTACCGTTTCAGAGCAGATCTGGAAGACCCAGGTTCAAATGCCAGCTCTGCCATGAAATCTTGCTGGGTGACCTCACGTTAGCCACACAGTCTCAATGTAAGATAAAATGGAAGAGAATGGTATGAGCTGCTTTGGGTCCATGTTGTGGAGAAAGGCAAAGTATAAATGTAGTAAAAGATAATATAGCTGAAGGTGGTGGGAGATAAAACGTAGGCAGGTTGGGTATGTGGGAATGACAGAAGTGGCTGCTAGGGTTAGAAAAGGAGGAAAAGCTGAAGTTTGGGAGGAGATAAAAGGTTGGCTGGTGGGTGGGAAGGAGGCAGGGAAAACAAATGGGGACTTCAGGGAAGGGAAAGAGGAAATCATGGTGGAGGGAGAAAATCAAATGCAACAGCAAGACCTTGTGGGTCCTTTATCTAATTCCCAACAGCCACAGCAAGACCTTGTGGGTCCTTTACTTTATCTAATTCCCAACATGACCCCATCTGCGGATACTTAAATTTGGAGATTGGGACAATATACAGACACAACAGATCGTTCTACATACCTGAAAGCCCCAGGTTTGCAGAAGGAAGTAGGGCAGTGGTGGCGAACCTGTGGCACGGGTGCCAGAGGGGGCACTCAGAGCCCTCTCTGTGAGCACATGTGCCATCGCCCCAGCCAGGCCCAGACCATAATTAAAGTGTCGAATTCTCTGCCAAATAATTTTAAGTAAATGAAAGCATTTGGGATTGCTTTCCTTACTTTGTTTGGATCATCTTAAGTTAATGTATGAGTTGTTCTTTCTAAAGTAAAACCTCAGTATTCAGGTTAAATTGCTGTGTTGGCATTTGCGATAAATAAGTGGGTTTTAGGTTGCAGTTTGGGCACTCGGTCTCTAAAAGGTTCGCCATCACTAAAGTAGGGGAAGGTGAGAATATTGGGGGGGGGGGCTAGGAAGAGAGTAAATGGTGTGGAGACAGGGGAAGGTAAGATTCCCCTGCAAGTCTTCGCAGGCTCCCCAGTGCTCAACTGAGCCTGGCCCAGCCACCAGAACTGCAAAGATTTGCCCCAAGGAGAAGCTGTCATGGGGAGGAAAGGAGGGGGGAGTTGAAAAAGAAGTGCAGATCAAAATAGGTTGCCTGGTGAGTGGGCTTTCAGAGAAAGGAAAGAGGAAATAGGCTGAAGACAATGAGATGCCCCCCACAAGTCCTTGCAGGTCCCCTATTCACAGTGTTGCCAACCTCCTGATGGGGGCTGGAGATGTCTTGGGATTACAACTGATCTCCAAACTATAAAACACTTATTGTTTATTTATTTAGGACATTTGTTCCACTTCTAGAGAAAATGGCTGCTTTGGAAGGTGGACTGCATTGGCATTGTACCCTACCATGTTCCCTCCCCTCCCTATACCCTGCTTTCCTGAGTTCCACCCCCAAATCTCCAGGTATCTCTGAATCTGGGGTTGACAACCTTACCTACTCATCTCATGAGCCATGAAAAAAATCTTCATTATTTTTGAAATGTCCTAAATAACCAATGTCATGATTATGGATTTTGTTGCCCAAACTCTCCCCCCACCTGCCTGAAAGCTTTCCCCTTCCCAATGCTTGGGGGCCGGTTGCACAAATATTTTGCCATTCACATTTGCTTACTATCTTGCTCAGTAAAAATGAATTTTTCTGACTTGTCCTGGTCTCTGAATCTGAGAGTATTTGTTGTTCTATCCATGGGCTGTGCTTTGTAGGGTGAAATAAAGCGGCTTGTCTCATTAAAAGCATACTCAGTTTCTGTAGACAGTTGTGTGTACTGGGGTTGTTATGGTTACAGCTAGGCCTGTGGTTACTCTTGCTGCTCCATTGCTACTTTAGTGTTTGATTGTGTCAACTATAGTAACCTGTGGAAGAAATTATTTGCTGCGACAAGTTCCAGTAACCCACCAGGGCCTTTTCTCTTTTGACGGCTGTTTAACTTCTGATCTTGGGAGGCTCTGTGACCTTACCATGGGGGGGGGATATTGGGGGGGTCTCAAGTTACTGCTCTAAAATGGGATAAAGGTTTTTTGTTTTTTTAAAAGAGTTTATAGCAAATCAGTTGCTAGTCTTATCATCTATACTGAGGTAAGTGTAATTGCTTAACAAATTGTTTTGTTGCTGTTTCTAATTCCTGCTAAAATAGCAGTCATGAGAAGACTTTTTGTGGTGGAAAGTGACTTGTCTGTGTCATATACAGTACTATGTCTCACACAAGGCAGTCTGTTGCTTTGACAAGACAGAGTCTGTGGATGCATTTTGCCTCCTCAGAGTTCCAGTATCTGAACTGAGGTGGTTTGGGACATGTAGGGAGAAGCTGTATGTGTGGAAGCTCCTCTTTCATCTAAATGTAAGATGCATGTTGGCATTCCAAATTCCCTAGGTGCAATCAGGGAAGCTTCAATCTCATTTTTTCTTTTTTTCAAGGCCAAAAAATAAATAGGTTTTTAAAAACACAATAAAATAAAATAAAATTGCAATAAATAAATACATAAAATTGAAAAATGCAAAAATAGAGTCAGAGATTCTCCCCCTCCCCAGTTTACACAGAAAAGCAGACTGGAATCGAGTCTCTCCAATCAAAAAGTCTTGAGGAGAACTAGTCATAGTGGAGTTGGAACTGTTTCTTCTGCCGCTGCAAGAGGAACAGCAGGTGTGGCCCAGGTCCCCCCCCCCCCGCTGTTTCCCCACCCCCCAACCAACATTTTCTGGCTATGCCCCTACCTCCTAGACTGGCAAAGGTCTCTTTCTGTCCATAGCCACTGTAAAAGTTTGCCACCATTCTACTTTCACAACATTCAGTGCAGATATTAGGACAGCAACCTTCTTTAATAAATAAATAATTCTAAATAGAAACCTTTAAACTTTTATTTTATTTATGCTCTTCATCAAATCTCCTTAGATCAGGAGGAAGGTATATGACCTTATAAAACAGAAGTCTTAAGAAAGCAGGAATACAGTGGCAGATTTCTTATGCAGTACGAAAGGTTAGAGGAGAATGATTTATAAACAAACAAGATATTACTGTGAAAATGGGTGTGTGTGTCCGAATCTCAATTTTTCTTATTATTAGGTACTTGCCCTTG